CTTCCAAAAGGACTCATAAAATAAAATATAATAATAAATCTTTTCTTGAGTTTTATTGTAGTTATTAATCGTCATTCATATAAAGTTGTAATTCGGGTTTAAATAAAGTGAATTAAACAAAGAGAGTATTTAGTGCGTCAAAGTCTTCTTGAGGAAGCACCTCTATCTACCTTTGTCCGAGTTCATTTCCCATCAAACCTGCAACGACTGTCAACTCTTTGATCAACAACTGAAATTGCTGATCAAGTCTATTTTCATATTGTAAGCCGACACTGCTGTGCGGTAAGGATTATAATAATTTATATCATCACATCAAATTAATTAACTGAGGCGTGGGTTCTCGTAAGATAAGATTTCATTACGACGATTCCTTTCTAATTAACAAATTCTTCTAATATTATATATGTTAGAAGAGAAAAGTCCTGTTAGTCTAAAATCCCTCTTTTAGCCTTTTGGCCGCTTCTAACCGATTAAATTAATTCTTCAAATTAATTAATAATAAATATCTTCGGACATAACAATCCATTTTAACTTGGCTCTGCACAATTAACAGATAAATTTATGGTTCGTCTACTTTGTAATATTTTCTTTAATATCACGAAATAACTTTACAATTATTAACTAAACCGTGAGTACGGTCATCCAAACTGTACTCATTTATTGCTAGATTATAAGAATGTTTAAATCTATAAACATTATGTAGAGTAGTGAGACAGTTAATACCTGTCTCACTATCAGTTAGCACATTGTCAACATAAGGATATTTATTGGCTCTGGTAGCATTTTTTTAGCTGGATGAAGTGCTGCAGGGGCCCTAAAAAAAAGCATTCATCATTATTTATGATATTTATTAATGGTTTTTTTTGTTGTGTAAATTTTAGTGGAGGTACAAATGTAGTTTCTCAAAAACATTTTCCAGGAGATGTCTTTTTTATGTCTGTTGACGGCAAAATTGCTTCATTTTTAATATTACAGTATTAAATTTCTACAACTGTTCTATCATTGGTTTGATTACTAAATCTACAAGCAAGGACAAAATTCACTTTTAAATTTTCCTCGCTTGTCACTATATTTGTCAACTCTTCGATAATCAGCTTTTTGGAGTCCACTAAGATGTCTCGTAAATTTAAATGTTGCATGTAAATGACAACAGCAACTCAAATTTGAAAAACATTTTCTAAATCATTCCATCAAATTAATTGTTCGTTAATTTAAGGTTTCCTCCAACGACTAAATAATTAAGAAACTTTTTATGTAATGTTGCAAGTGCTGCAATTATCGATTAAATTCGTAGTTTCTCACCAACCGGTAAACCACTCGATTGCAAATATCTGTTTAAAAAAGGTAATAATTTCAGTACTAATTTGCACCCATTTGTCAATAATTTCACTAGATTCACGATCCAATAATGGTAGAAGAGTATAGGCTTCCTCCATCATTTGAATTAAATCGAAATAATATTTTAATGCACTCATTTTTCCAACTTCACAATCTGAACAAGAGAGTTATTGATGAAATTCTCCTAAAGTATCTTCGCAGTATAATTGCAAAAAAAGTAGGAGGGGGTAGACATATGAATTGGTAGTTTTAAAAAAAATTTTAGTTAGTTTCTATTGTGCTATATGTACATACTTCGAGTGCAATATCGGAATAATGTTAGATGTTCAAGGTTTTGAACAGCTAAACAATCGGTTTGTAGTAAAAGAATTAGCAGCTTTAACTATTGAAGATAATTGTTAAAAGACATTTCTGTGCTTGCATTTAAACCACCATTTGAGTGAGAATATTTGCCTGAAAATTATAAAACTACAAATTCATGGTTGATGCGTCACTACCATGGAATTCTATGGGAGTCTAAAAATATACCATATGAGAAACTTACGGTACTCTTTCGAGTAATTTTCAACGATTAAAATTACATGTATGTGAAAGAAGAAGAGAAAAAAAGATGGTTAAGGAGTGTCATAATCGACAGCTTGAAATTTGTGATAAACCTGGAAAAACTTAAGTGTCCTTCTCCCAACGAAATAGATACTGATCACCTGGAAGATTGTGGATTACATGATAGGAATAAAAAACATTGTATACAGCAAAATGTCAAAATCCTGAATGTATGGTGTCAGATTTTTATGAAAAAACTTCATTTAAAAATTCATTTCAATTATTTTATTATTTGAAAATGACAATTGAAAAAATTGCTTGTTTCCCGAAATATTCCTTCTTGAAGATCATTCCAAATTGTATTCAAGATATTTAGAATAGATTGCCAGAACGTTTACAACTCAGAGCGATATTTTATTACATCGTCAATATTATAATCATTACAAGCCGTCAAATTTAATAAGACCTACAAGACGTAATTGTATTCCTTGTAACAAAGAGATGAAAATTTATTTAAAAATTTCCGTCGAGTCAGTGCTTTTTTTTTTACTTCCTAAATTCTATTATCAATAAACACGTATTTTAAGCGTTGAAGATTATTGATTGCGATTAGAGAAGAGAAAGATAGAAAGAAAATTGTTTAAAATAGTAAAAATGGTAAAAGAAACCGTCCAAATTACTCAAAATAGTAATTAAGAAACTATTCCATAATCGGATGCAACTATTAAAAAGAATTAATTCATCGTTAATACATGATCCTTATTAGAACCAATCGACCAAATAATCAATAATTCTTAATCTAGTCACTCATTTGATTAATTTTCTGTGTCCCTTTATACTAATAAAGTTCCTGTCGCCATTCTTGTTCTGTTCTCATTCACGTGTACACGCCATTCTAATTCTTTTCGGACAATCTTGAAGTTTTGAGTCAATCATTAGTGCTAGTGCTACTCTGAATCACCACAAATATTGAATTTCCATTTTACAATTGAAATCAACTAACATTTCAAGACATTTCATAGTAAATTCAAGAAATTTCATTAAATTCATTTTGCATTGCATTGACAGGCTAACGCCACGTGCACAATCATATTCTTGCTCAACTTGAGAAGCGTGCTGAGCTCGTGTGGGAGGTCAGTAATACCGAACACACCAAGTTGAGTCATTTTTAGACATTCAATTCAAATTCAATAATTACGTTGACATTCAGTGATTTCTAAAGACATTCATTTCTTTTATTTTAGTGACAAAAGTTGTTTAGTGTATATTGTGTACCTGCTAGTGCTGAAAATAAAGATATTATATTTTTTATAAAACCTGACTTCCGTTTGCTCTGTTCCGACACAATCATCCCTTTCCTTAAACGTTTAGGATAATTCACAAGTTAAGATTTTCTTAAAACATGTAAATATAAATATTTTTCATCATTTTTTATGTTGATTTTAACATATGAGGTCGTTTTGGGAAATTTCGATCAGAATTATGTGAAAATTAAAAATCACCTTTATGGTGTGTCAACGTTCAGAGTGATTTCTACCCCTTTCAAACTTTTTTCCGCAAAACAAAAAACAAGTAGTTCATCATTTCCGACGGAGATTATTTTATAGAAGCCTCAGCTGAATCGACGGTGAGCACCTCGCTAGGTTTTTTTGTTAGTTTCAGTGAACTCATGTGATACTACTACCAGACCGATTCTGTTATTGTCTTATTTATCACTTGTTATTTAGTTGTTAATTACTTATCAATTGTTATTGTTGAATAGTGTTAGCTGATTGATTTATACCCGTTCAACAGCTCCGACTGTTTTAGTATCCAACACTTCTAGAAAATACAATCCACATTAATTTCTAATTATCGTTTGCCTATAATTCATTTCATAGTTTTCTGCCAGCCCATCAAAGTCAGATTACGTATAAATTATGGTTTTTTTAAAATTAATTATAGAATTTTTTTTCCTATTAATTCAATAAATTGAATAAAAAATCAGTCGTAACGTAGCCATTGGAATTTTTTCGGAATTATGTCACTCATATTTTAAGAATCGCTGCAATCGATCGATGGTAATTCTCCTTTTTCAGCAAATTAGCTACCATTGTTCCTCCGGAATGCCGATGTCAACAGATGGTGATGTGGAGCATCCCGTTGTACTTGCACAGGCAAGCATCGGTGATCGGTAAGCAGGTTTTGTAACAGGGGGGAAGTCTCCCAAGAAGTAAAGGTACTAAGTATCTAAGCTGTCTTTTGGGATAGACAGAGGTCGCCACCCACCCACAAAAGAACACAGATTACCTTCGCCTTACAATCCAGTCAAGTTAAACGTGAAATGGGAATTGTTCAACCTCAGTCAAACTTGGCTGAAATATTTCTAGGCATACTAGCTTTAAGTACGGATAGTTTTTGAGAGGTTGTGAATACAGTGTCAGGGTAAAAAAAAAGTAAACTTGCTCTGAAAGCTCTTTTTTCACATTTTAGCGAACAGTGTGATAGATATCGAAAAACGTTTTTGACAAAAGTTGGAGATAACAAGATACTCTACAACATCAGATAATCTACAACTGTAGATGTTATGATAATCTACAACTTTTGTATGGAACATTTTTTCGCATCTATTATAGTTTTCGCAAAGAATGTCTTCAAAGTTGCAAATTTTTAAAATTCCAAATTCTTTTTTTTTTTATAATGTTATTGATGACTACTTTTACAAACGAAAAGTCCTCTACCTTTTTTTAGATTTCTGCAAACTTTAAAAAATTGTGGTGCTGTGGGCCCGGCCTAAAATGTAAAAAAAAATATTCTTGATCGACTTAGTTTTTTATTCTGAGTCGATTAAGAATATACAGGGTATTCTTCCAGAGGAGGTTAGAATGGAAGTATTGTTATTAAAAGTCATGTAAACTTGGCGTCGATTTTTACAGATATTCTGGGATAAAGTTTTTGTCTGAATAACTACATTAACACTGTCTATTTGAACATAACTATGATTTACATAAATCTTTAGCAATGTGATAAAAAAGGATTAAATTTAAACGAAATCCTTGAAACCTTGGAAGTATACTCACTTTATAATATAAATGCATAAAAAGAATAAAAGAAATGTATCATTAGTAGTAATACTATCATTTACATTTGTTCCACTCGAATAATACTGAAAAATGAGTATTTTTATCGATAGCACGAGTACTCAACTTAAGTACATTGAATTAACTAATTTACGAGGAATTAATATGATAGATGATATGAAGTATTGTACTATACAAAATAGTGGATATGCACATTACATCTATAGTAGTCCGCTCAATGCTCATACTCAAGAATTATTAAAACATGGTCACGTTGATCGAAAAGTTTGTGTGTATATTAATAGATCTAACAATGATGTTTTATTTATTCGATTTGATAGTTTAGCGGAGTCATTTTATGAAAGTCGCTGCATCGTTTATGAATTGTGGCACATTAAAGAATGTACTCGTACACCAGATGACAAATTTTGCGTTCAATATTATATTGATAGTATTGATCATAGTGAATGGACGATGATGGACGAGTCAAAATTATCGATCGACGATTTTGAATACGCTGGTCACGGTCACTGGAGGTACTTCGACAAAGGTATTTTATATTACGGTGTTCGATATACAATGAAAGTAAGCATTCAAAATGCTATGCAATATGCCGAAACGATCACAAATTATAGTAAACATGACGAATCAATATTTTTAGAATCTTTTATAATGTATGCAGTAACTTATTCCCAACCTGTTCTATGGTCACAATGTCAACTTCATGATTTTATAAAGAGGTTCAACATCAAAAGAATAAATAACATTTCTTTTGTAACTACTTCAGATTCAAAAACAAAAAGCTCTACCAATAATCCTGATGATCGCAAGTTGACACAGTCTGACAATAAGTGACAGTAATTCTATTATTTTATCATTCCAAGATGTCATTAATTATTGATACTAATCAATGACAGTAGTTGCAACAGCAACTTCTTTTCTTCATTTTTCGTGAACGTTATCGCTTGTGATATTGGTGTATATCTATATCATTAAGTCTTATTTATATCGTAAGAGATATGGTTTTACAAAATAACCCTTCACAACAAATTACCTAATCATGAGATGCAGTTATTATATTCAGTTTTTTAACCTCACATAAAGCAAATAAACAATATGTTGGCAAAATATCAACTTGAATGAACCTCGCTGGTCACGATTGAAATAAGTTTCCCGAAAAAGAGCTATGGACGAGTCAGGTTTACATAAGTATAATTATTTTTATTTTTCAGCATTATCAATAAACAAGATATACACTTCACAAGTTGTAGTTACCAGAGACTAAATAAATGTCACCCAAACGGAATAAAAAGTAATAAAAATCACTCAATCTTCACTTGAATGTCTAAAAAAAAGCTTTAGTTAGTGTATCATTGACCTTCCACTCGAGCTCAACACGCTTTTCAAGTTAAGCAAAAATAAGATTGTGCACGTGGCGTTGGTCCAGCATGCAAAGTAAATTGATTTAGTTTACTATAAATTCTCTCGAAGTATTTTTTGAATGAATGATAGAATGAATAACTGAATGATTTCGGCTATTCTAAATGTCACAAACTTCACAGATTGACTCAAGAAAAAAAATTTTTGATTGAATAACTGAAAATGGCTCATAAACATAGACGAGAACGAAAAGAATCGTGACAATATCTTCGTAAGTTAAAATTGACACTTATTTTTAGTCAATTAAGTGACTATAATAAGAATTATCGTTTATTAGGCTTTGGAAGTTGGTACGATTGGATAAATAAATAGGTCAACGATAGGTCTGACCAACGTCGTTGTTGATGTCTTCATGACCTATAATGTGACCGCGTCTCTTCTCTCGGAATATTAACCACAACATGGCTATTAATGATTGATTGGATGACCACTGATATGTACCGCGTGGCAGTAAGATACTGTATAATAATTGTATTAGCTTTTAAAAAAATTTTTTTTTGGGTACCTAAAATTACAAATACGGCAAAAAGATTTGTTAGACACATGCTGTTTAATTTCAGACGTACTGTATATTTTTAGATGAAAAGATTTTCTACAAATTTGTATTTGAGTACATATAGTTAAATCTTCATCTTTGCCATTAAGTGAAGCAGACCCCTTCAATAGATGTTTATCATAGCAGTTATCACTCACAGGATATCTATTACATTTATTACACATTCGTTGTTTCACAGGTTTACAAAAAGGTGCACTACCACACCGCAGACATTTAAAAACACAACGATGTAAGGCGGGGGTCGTAGCATAACTTTTATTGCAACCCGTACAAAAAGAGCGCGAACCTATTGCCGCACTGACATTCAATCTTAGTTTATAATGGTGTTTGCTGATAATATAAAATGAATAGCGTTTGGCTTATAGAACCATAATGCTTTTCAATGACCCGCCAACCATCGAATAAGGGTGGACTTCCTTTTCCTAAGGTGTAAAACTCGAACACAACAATAACCGTACCCTTGTAAACAAAACAACGTTGAAAAGCATTGATTTCATCGAGACCAGAGCCTTGACGGGGTATATATACAGGTTTTGTAGATTAACTGTACGAATTTTACCGCGCTCAGCATAAAAATCAGCGACAACAAGTGTGCGTGAAAAGCATAAATTATCATTATTCGTGATACTTAGTATAGAACGCTTGAAAATATCTTCGAAAGTCAGCTCTTTACGGACACGTCCATCTATTCCTCGAAAAATTAAAATCGTCTAAACAATATAATCACTATTTAAACCACCTGCACTTTGAGCAATTTTGCAAAGTAGCTTCCACGAATCTTTAAGTCTAGACTCAGGGTATAAAAGGCGTCGCGCTTGACTTAGCCATGTTTAATAATAAATGATATACTTTTAAAGCTGATTAGCGTTTAGAGAATGCACGCACTTTGAAGCTCTTCAGGTACTGACGATTGAAAAATTATATTTAAAAATGCAGCAGCAGATGTTTCCATATTGTGCATATTTGTTGCTCTCAAGAAAAGAAATATTATATTCTCTTCTCAAAATTCTTACGAATGCTAAATTACATGAATCTTTAGCAGATATTTTTAAACCAACAATTCGAGATTTAAAATGATTTTGAAAAATTCTCAGGTTTGCAAAGATTGTATTTAAGTCTAATCCTTCTTGATTGTTTTTCTTGAAATACAAAGTCTTTAAAACTCTTAACGTTGCAGAAATCAGCGTTTTTCGAAGGTTTAAGTTACATAGTTGAAGATCACTAAAACGCAATCTTGAATTATGGCATGGTGGGAGGTACAATGTTTCAAATTACAAAGCCTCTTAAGCAATTTATTTAGTCTCGTGTCGTCGTTAGTGATACAACCGTTATAACATGTCACTATCAAGCCAACAATTTGAATCGTCTTCACCCAACGATCAACAGGCTATGATGGATACTTCTGAAGCATCAGCCCAAAAATTTACACCCCGTGGAGAAATCTTCGAGTTCCTGTTTTCAACAACGCCTCATGATCAACATCAATAATCACAGGTGTGCGTTTGAATCACGTTAGCAATAATTTCGAAGTTTGTGTTTTAATCATCCACGCTAAGTGTTCAGGAGCTCTTTTCAATGCTGAAAATTGGCAAGGGTTCATAAAGAATCTTCCACAGATTATTAAGTGTTTTGAAAACTTTGATTCTGATTTTCGAAAATTAATCAATGAAGAAAACAGCTGTGTTGGTTATTCATATACTTTTATGGTGCTGAGTGGAACGAAATACGGAAGCAGAATGCTGAAAATACAAGATACTATTAACAGCTCTTCCCAGAATGCGGCTCGTTAAGTCAACATTCAAAGAAGTACTTTTGAACACGCCATTCGTATGAAAAATTTAATTCAAAAACCCTTAGTACAACTCCAAGCGAGCATACCTGTAATTACTAAATGCATGGAGTCGATAGACACAGCTCAAAAAAATGAAATACCGGCAAGTATTATCAATACTATACAATGCCCTGTCGACTTAATATATACATTTGGAGCTTATTATCTTCAACGAGGGAAAATGATAAGGGAAATTCTCGAACAACTGGCCCCTATCTACCAAACATCACCAGTTGTATTAGTTATTGACGTTAAAATCATTGCTCGAGAATCGTGATAACTTCTCAATGAACACGTTGTGAGTGAAGCAATGCTCTAAAAATGAATAAAAAATATTTTTATTACAACGTGTTGTAAAATTATGACAAATAATTTTTATGTAATCATTTATCTGTAAAACTACTATGGTAATAAAACTTAACCGCAACCTGTCAGCTAGACTCACTCTCGTCCCAGCTCCTGCACGTTTGAGCTTATCCGACCCGCTCACCCTAACCTTGCTCTTCTTTCAGCACTCAACTAATTGCAACTCGTCTTCTCTAACCTAGCAAATAATAGTCGTTCTACGATTGTGCTAGGTCTACCGACGCCGGCTACAACATGTTTTGCAGCCATTAACGCTCACGCGACGCTCAAGTACACGTGCTCTGTTATTGCTCTTACTATTTTCTCATTATCTAAAGTTTTAAGCTCGTTGATAAGCTCAATTCAAGATCGATTAATTCTTGCAAAGCTCCATAATTATTGTTAAAGAATTGTTGATTTTGAAAACAGTTTATTTACACAGTAAAGATAAAATTAAGCTCAATAAAAGTGTCTTTTGTGTGTGTGCACCTCGCTTGATCACATCGTACAGCGTAGCTGAATCGCTATCGTTTTTCTTCAGCTCGTATGGAATGTAATAAATAAAATGGATTAGTATGCAATTTATGCGCAATGAAAACACACACACACATATTGAGATTTTAATTTCTGTATTAATTTCGGGTTAACTTTCTTTCAATGTATTGTATGAAAATAAATTTTAATAACGCCACTTGTTAATTTTAGTGAAGTACCACAGTAATCATTTTTTTTGAGCATGCTGCTCATTAGAGAATGCGTATGGTGTCGTACTTGGTATAATTTTACGAAAGGGCCTCGACAAGTTATCTAGCAATTGATTGTGGTGGTACAGGCCGCTGGGAGTATACTGTGCAAGTGAGAGCACAACACCTTAAATAATAGATATAGTAAAAAAATGATAGATACATGCTTGTTGCCACGTGTATCATACGGCAATGTTTTTATATACACGTGCTCACATAGCCAGTATGACGTCTTCTACCAAACTCATCGATTGTTTATAGTAACGAGGGGGAGTTTGATTATCTCCAGTTTTTGACTGAGACTTGAGTTGACCAGACGTATTCTTTCTATTCAATCACTAGCTGTCAACCTTAGTTATTTTACATTGATATAAAAATTGGTTCGTTTCGCGTGCTGTGAAAATTTTTTTATTAGTGAATTTTGAAGAATATTTGAAATAATCATGCCAAAGAGCCCAAGTCGTAGGCAAGCTCGAGCTAAAAGAACGACTCAATATGCCGATTGTGTAGGAGAAGGTACCAATGGAGGACTTTTAGCTTTGGAGATAAGGTTAAATCGGTTAGGAAGAAGGATGGACAGAGATTAAATTCGTTTGCAGGAGCGTTTCAAGGAAAGTCGAAGGAGGACTCAAGACTTATTCCGATAGACAAGAAATCTTATTCCCCATGATAATAGTAATAATAATAATAAAATCCCGCTCTCTACGCCTCAACGCATTATACACAATCAGCCGGATATTACTCTTTTCGACCATACTACCAGGCACGTATGTTACATTGAGTTTTCAGCCCCGGCTGAGACGAATATGCTTGCAAAAGAAGAGAGTAAACAGGAATGCTACAGAGAGCTCATGGAGGTCATGAGAGGTGTCTATCACGTATACACACCGCACGTGATAGTCCTGGTAATAAGAGCTGTCGGAGGAATGAGGGACCGCTTTCTGACAGAGCTTTGAACAATACTAGTCTGCTGTAGTCAGGCTGAGATTCTCGCGGCTCATATGCAGAAGGCGGTCATCCTTGGTTCTCGCCGAA